GCCAACATGAATGTAAACTTTGCTTAACCTTGAAATCTATAAAAGGCAATTGAAACAGTCACCGCTTGCAGAATATCCGTAGGAAAAGCGCCTGTATCTTATGTTATTCCTCATGCTAGAGGATAAAATAAAACAAAAAGTGCCAATGGAATATCAAACAGATGAAGAGGATCAACTCGCCCCATGGGTTATACAAATTTCAAAGATTGGGTCTGGTCGTGCCTAAATAGACTCATAGTGTTGGTCATACATGCATGTCAGGTGTATCAAGACACACAAATACACGTACCTATCATTTATAGATAACTAGTATTATATACATTTGCATCTTACATTGATATAAATTACCTAACATGATTATATTGTACCATAGGTATGTTGTGTGCGAGATATAGCTGAAACACTACTCGTTATTGTAAATTTTAATTCTAGTATATTTTCTTTCTTTCAATAGGTATTTTTCACATTTTTCATGTGATACCACTTACATTCATGGCATTGATTGTGGTTCTTGAACCCAACATCAGGTTTGATGGGGATGCAATGTAAAATGATGATGCCAGAAGTAGTGGATACACAGAGATATGATGTAGGTGCAGAGGTGCAACCACCATCACATAGACTAGTAGACTGAGAAATTGCTGGCATCATGTCGGTTGTGTTACAAGACAGTTGTTGAGGTTTTTAGCTCAATATTTAGGACAACAACATTATCAGTCTAACCCTATTTTACGCCGAGAGGGTGACTCATGATGCCCAAACTTGAGGCGGTGGTAAACCAGGACTAAATTGTTTTCACGTTTTGTCAGGGGCATATTGTTGAAGAACGTATTGAACGCCATCAGAATGAGGGGTGCTAATTCTACGTTATCAGTGTAGATTATGATTAACAGCTTACTGTGGGTGACATTTGATCATACATTTTTTAAATCGTTTATATTTATTGTTTACCACATGTACGTTCGATTGATGAACCAGCTATGATAAACTAATACCCCGTTCACATGCCAGCTGATACTCATGTGAGTATCTTTACATATGTGAGTAAATTTACTCCTGGTGTGCAAATGGGTCATGTGAACACATTTACTTTCATATGTAACATTGCTCCTGGAGTATATTTACATGACCTGAAGAGGTCATGCAAAAGTATATTTACATGGTATGTATTTTGTGCCATGTGAACGCGAAATACTTTTGCTTCAGTACGCAAAACTGTTTCATCATGCCTAAAAATAGCAACATATGACAGGATCTCTATTAATAGCTCAGATCAGGCGATCATTCAAAACATGTACACAAGACAAGTTGCTTACAGGCTGAACAGAGGGGTAAAATGGCAACCAGAAAATATAAAAAATGAGGTTGTTCTTGGACTGATGAAGAAACTGAGGCTATTCTTGTTGTTTGGAGTGATGAAAACATAGAAGACCAGTTGGACGATCCCAAACGGAACAAAGGTGCAATATATGAACATTTGTCATCAGAATTGCAGAATCGGGGCTTTGAAAAATCAAGTGCACAATGCAAGATCCATATGCATACTTTAAAGAGATCCTTTCGAGCGTGCAACAAGCAGCTAAAAACCAGAGGCAAAGGCCGAAAACTATGCAAGTTTTACAACAGACTGAATAAATCCTGGGAAATCGGCCAGCCACCTCACCTGTGAAAGTTGTTGAAAGCATGACAAGAAAGCGGGGATTGATCGAATCTGATGATACAGGTAAGTCTGATATTGGTAATGATGATGACCTGGAGATGGAGACAGAAACGGTAGATACTGAAGCAAGAGAGACCGGTACAGAGTACTTGAGTACTTAGTAATTGAGCCCAGGGAAGACGAACAGAATGAAGGTAGTGGAGAAAATACTACAGAGGATGGAGAAATGAAGGCAAAGGAAACTGAAAAAGAACCTAAAAAGAAGTCTATAGAGAAAAGACATCAGAAAACTCGATTGGAAGTGGCCCTAGGTTCAGTCATGAAAGGGTTTGGAGAAAGTAATGAGAAGTTCGAGAAGATGTTCTTGGATGTTGAAAAATTAAAAAGGTTGATGCAGAGTTAAAGAGAATTGATCTGGAGCAACAGAGGATCGAATCTGAGGAACGCCAAAAACGCGAAGAATGGGATCACCAGTTCAGAATGGTGCAGATGATTTTGGGAAGAATGACGCCTCAGTCGCATCAGCACCAGTCAGCTGCCCCGCCTGGTCCTGGATCTCAGCACTTTGGGAATGCACCCTCCCCTACACCCAACACTGACCGACAGTTCCATCGCCAGGCCTCCACAAGGTCCAACTGCAGCGTATCATATGATGACTCAGGAGATTCCTTCTATAACTTGTAACTGATTTCATTTAAGATAACATTTTGTTTTGATTATGAAAGTTGTTGGGAAAGCAACTACATTGTTTAAAGGAATAATAGACACGGTATGCAGTCTGAAGAGGAACGACTAGTTTTGTTTTCGAAACAAACTTGAAGAAGAGGTTTGTCTCTGATACTGCAATGATTTGTGCGTTACCGGTACTATTTGTCTAATGCTTACTCAGTTTCATTTTTTGTGTTGATGATGTTGTCGGTATCAACTTTCAAGGTATTGCGGATCGGAGGCAACTTTCCCCCGATACCATGAATGATTGTGCCTGCTAACCAATGTACTGCCATGTCATCCCTCTTCTTAGCCGAACATTTAGTAACCACCCGTTAAAAATAATATGGATGATTTGAATGGTAGACTAAATATGGTGATGACATAGCTCTACATTGAATAACAGGTGCAAGTATTCATGGCATCGGTGGAGTGTCGCCTTAAACCTGTAATACCATGAGGGTTGATTATTTCTGTTGTTCGAAAGTAACATGAAAATATCTAACTGGTAAGGAAACCACTTCCCTTTCATTTCACTACTCTGTTGTGATATCCACATCTTTGAATCGAAAACATTAAACAATATCAAGATGTACTTGTGGTCACATACCGCTTGTAGTTTGATTGAATAGAACCCTTTCCTATTAAGATAATCTCCGTGGGCCTGAACTGGGCCTATTATGATCAGATCCTCCTCCTTTGGAAATTTGGCATAGTTCAACATCATCGTGTCATTAAGTGCTTCACAGACATATCTCAGGCACTTCCAAACAGGTGATTTGCAACTGCCCTTAACTCTGCAGAGGATGCAAGCCAGTAGACCTCTACAGCTGCTTTATGGTCAATGTCTAAACGTTCCCTAACTGGCACACTCTCATTGGACAGGGATTCCTGCAGTTCCTGACAAAGGAAGTAAAATGTTTCCTTTGTCATCCGAAAATTTTCAACCCAATCTTTGTCAACTTTCCTTTTACGATGTCATTCAACCAGGGTCTGGACCTCTGTTTTACCCACACTTTTCTATCATGAGTAAGACCCAGTGCTAAACCAGTGGATAGAAATATAGGAAAATCTCGTAGCCTGTTCATCTTGGTTTTAAGAGCGAGTGAGTGAATGAGTTGTAGAGACCTACTCTGAAACTTACATCAGCAAATATATTTTGCACACCGCACACTTTCTTCATGTGAACGCAAAGTATTTTTACTTTTTGCTTATATGTGCAAATTTACTCCATATGTAAAAATACTCAAGTGTGTATATTTTGGCATGTGAACAGGGTATAAGCGTCTGAAAATTAACCAGTCATGTATGATATGACATGTTAATAATGAGGTGTATGTTTCAATGTCGCCATTCCATTCTAATTCCATTGCATTTGTTTAAACATATGAAGTGGCCGACTTCTGCCTCTGTGCTGTCTGGGTACTGCCGACTTTGTCCGAGTACTACCTAAGCTGTCGTAAAGCTAACAGTATCCAGGTTCAGGCTGAGCAAGATGTTCTTTGCCTGTCAATTTTGAAACCACCAGCAGTTGTCTCCCTTTGTATCAGCAATTTACAGTTCAAATCTGATGATACTGAGCATAAAATCCACTTACCTATTTCTTTTTTAGTTTCATTGTTTGCGTAATCAGAAAATTATTTTAAAAAGAATTAAAAATAATATCTGTCTTCACCCATTTCCCGATAACAGCAGCTGTCGCTAAGTAACATGAAGAAATACCTACGTTTTCGAAGCTTCGTATGAATAACACGTACATCGAAGACTGCCAAGTGACACACCATTAGAAAGCATATAATTTTGTTGATATTTTATATTACTTTGTATAAAATATTTAAAGATTTGCTTGAAACATATTTATTATGCTCTTTGACATGTCCGATGTGGACCGGTTGTCAAACTTGAAGTGGGTGTCCAAGAATTATATTTTCAATAACATACGTATTTCATACATTGTGAAATGCGAGAGATTTAAAAAATGAATGATATATGACAGGTAGGTTCATAAAATTATATACTATTTTGACGTGATTATGGCCTGGTTGGTCTACCGGCCTGTGGTGTCTGGGGTCTCGAGGCTTCTTGGCCCGTGTACCGGCCTATGGTGTTGAAAGAGTCAAATTCATGATTTTTCTGTAATCACCAAGAGATAAGTGTATTATAATATTTCGTTGCATTTCTCAAACTTCACTTGCAAATTCGACCATATCACTCACAATTTAGAGTCCTGCTCTCAAACTAATGAACATTTTGGCATAAAACAAAACATGTGAAACTATTGCCTTTTAATATATTTTTTTATTTTTTTTTAAATGTCATGTTTGTTTCCTGCCAAATCTCAAAAGCTTTGAATATTTTTGCATGAAACCATTATCTTTCATGGTTTGCAGTTTGCTATTATTGTTTTTTTTATTATTTGCAAACACATTTACAATAACAATTTTAACTAATGTTTCAAAACAGAGGAGGGGAGACATATGTTTTTGTGTAAAAACACATTCTAGTTGCATTTGCAAGGCTAACCTTTTTCCAAACAGTTCTTTTTGCAAAATGTTTCCAGAGATGGACATGGTAGAGGGAACTTGTCCAGGTGAGCTTCTTACTTCAACAATGACTTCCTTTTTTGTTTCAGGCAATGGATTTATCTCAACATCTATGCTGGATGAGGTCCTCAGTGCTCTAGATCTTGTCTCAGAGAAGGAATAGTAAGTACTGCCGATCACGCTGCTGAGTGTCCCATGAAGAATCAGTCTGGTCAGAGTACCGTGCTTCCAATCTTGGTGCACACACTTTCAGACAAGCTTGACCAAATTTCCTGTGGGTCAGCTACAGTGTGTTACATTAATTACTCTTAATTCAGTTTGTTTCTTTCAATGGTTTTGTTTCTATATAAATGTCCAGAAAATATATGTTTAGTTAGTTTGAAAAGTAATAAATATGAACATTTATAGCTCAACTTGATAACATCATTGTGAGCTTATGTTATCCATCTTTGAATCCACTGAAAATCTCTTCTGAACATGTCAATGTCATTTTCACATAACAAGTTCTACATGTCCAAGCTAAACTTTATTAAATTTTGTGTACATTTTCTGAAATATTAAATTTTTACTTATCCTGTCTCACACTATTGCATTATGTCTCTTCTTTTGAACAAAAAGTGGAAACACTTCTCTCAAACCAAGCCATTTGCAGAACTTGAAAACCTCTCCCAGTCTCGGCTCGTGTGTGACTCACGTGGTCATTCTTGTCTCTTTTGCCATGTGTTGAACACACATTCCTCTACACTTAACTTTGACACTCTTCAGCTGTATGATCAATATTTATAAAACCTAGATTGGCTTGCTGTTTGCTGTCTATCTTCAAGCTTATCTACATGATTCAACAAGCTTTCTACGTCTGACGATCAGTCACCCCGACCGCCTTCAAAGTCAATGTCTTGTCAGTTACAACACCTTTTACCAACTACGTCTCCTTCTACAACAATGGTGATGCCTTCGGCAGAGGACGTAGAGCAGGGACCACTTTTTCCTTTTCTGTCTACTGGACTTTGCAGCAGCCGACTGACACTTTGACACCTCTGACCAGAGGACCTTCTCATTACCATACAAGGTGCTCCAAGTCACTTACTATTTGTCACGGGACCATTGGGATCGTTTGGGTCGTCCTCCATCACCTCAGGCTCTGTCTTCCCTCACAGGACACCAGACCCGACCCACAGCACCTCTGACACCTCCTGCTACTCTAACTTTGGCTTTTCATAACTCTGGTGACAACGATAATGCCTCAGACGTACTGCTGTCACCATTCTCTTTCACCGGTTAATGAAGGCTTCTTTAATCCTGAAAGAAGGATCAACTCCAATCCATTGTTGCTCTCCTTGACGTATACAGTGTTTTGTGCAGAATGGTGTCTCAACCTTCCCTTGATTCCCCTCAAAATTCAGAACCATTACTGTCGACCTTCGGCCTGGTAGGTGAGGATTTATCTGCTCTCTAGCTTCTCTTTAGCACCGTAGCTTCATCCTTGTGTCCTTCGCTGGCCTTTAGGAAAATAAAGGATGTGTTTAAAACATCTGCCTTCAAGAATCATGTTCATCATGTCCACTTGCTGCAGTTTTCAGCTGCCCAATGACGATGGTCATAAGATGGGCAAGACATTTTCCTCCTTTACCATTGATGACAGAGATCTTTTCTCCAGTGACACTTCAATTCGTCACTTGTACTGCCTCTCTCCCTTGCTATGATGTTGAAGCAGGCACTGATTGCTGCTCTTGATTATCCCATGACATTGCATGATGCATAACTTGTGATTCCAGCAACAACCCCTTGCTACTTCTGTTGCTTATTTGGCTCATGCTACTGGTACTTGCACTTTACTTCGTCCGCAGCTTAACTTCAATACCATACTCAGAGTTTGTGGTACTCTTGAGTACACAATGCAACCCTGACACAGCCATGGTCAGTTCTCTTCAACTATGCCTTCCATTTTATACTGAAGAATGTTGATGATCCAAGGCAGTATCAAGTGAACATTTAGCTTTTATGGTTGACTGCCAAACAACCTCAAACAAAACCGCTGAAACATACCTTGACGGAAAGGGGAGTGCTTAGTTATGTGTCATCTTTTCGCCGCTATCCTGCCACAGACCAGCGTTGCTCCACTTTTAACTTGAACTCATCCTGCAAACAACCTCGTGGTAGAGGACGGGACTGTGGACAGCAGTCTTACGGTTCCAAGAGCAGATGCTGACTTGGACACTCATCTGCCAGTTTACTGATCCTTTGAGACGCTATACAGCAACTCTGAGCATCCGAAGAATTTCCAGGTGAGTTTCGATTTACAGGACCCTTACCTGCATGTTTATTTTCACCAGAGTTAAGAAGTCTGTTGTCCTCACCTCAACCTGAAGAGTATAAGATTTAAAGTGTAGAGGGAAGTACTCACCCGGCTACTGTACTTTATCTAGCATCTCCTTCACCATGTCGTGTGGCTAGTCAGCAAATTGAAGTCCGACCTGATCCTCTCAGTGGGGCAGAATTCGAGACAGCTGAGGACCGCCTTCTTCTTCCCACCAGATAGGTGGCAGAAGATCTCTGTTGCCATCCTGTTTCCGTTGCTCCATACAAACACTTAAAGTCTGCATCCTTGAAGTACATCACTCAGAAAACTGGTAATTCTTATTACGTCAATGTCCGCTAACGTTTTGTTATGTAAACCATCTCTCCACGCCCAAATGCTTCTGCCCAAGTGCAAGGTGAGAAAGCAGGGGCTCAAAAAGAGTCTTAAACCGAAGTAACATGTCACTTCTTAGGATCCCGATGTTGTTTGGGTCATTTGTTAGCCATCACCATGGCAGAGTGTTAAACAGGGCTGTTGCATTTGCTAATGCTTGAAATTTCGGGTTGCTCCGGCCTATGGGGTGATGTTTTTTTCAGAGGGACCTACATATTGAAGCAGATGATAGATCTCCTCTATGTGCTCAGTGAAGGTATTATAAGTTGCTCACATGAGGCATGTTGACGAGCTCTCTCCCTGTGAACAGTTGTCTTGCGTAATCGTTGCTGATTGTCTCTTGGTTGCATCTGCTGCAGATGCTTTTACCATGAATGTCCTAATAACCATAAGTGAGTGAGTAATTATAGGTTGGCATCCCCTATATCTCCAGGGCTGGCATTCCAGTAAACCTACATGAATCCCTGGATCCATTCCCATGGTTCTTGTGATTGCAAATTATCCACCTTTGATTGTCATTAATATTTTACCGACCAATCAAACGTCGACATAAGAGAAAGGGCAGGGATTGACTTTGGCATTTATTCTGCGATATTCTTGCATACCCTATATTCGGCGAGTTTTTCGTACCTAGGATTAGGGTGCTTTCAAGGGGGGTCATCTTATACACAGGGTTGATGAGGTTTGATGTTTTTTCCCCAACACAAAGACATTACTGTGAGCACGCCACACCGGAAATACCATGTCAACAAGTCCGTACTGAAGTATGAAAACTAATCATGTAATTACACTGTCGGGTTATAATAGAGTTCATTATATATATGGACTGATGTTTGTTTGTATGGAGAATGGATATATATATATCATAAATGCCATACATGGACTCGCTGAAAGTCATATTTGTTGTAGTTTGACTATTATATGTAAACCTTAAGTTTTCGCTATCGCAGTGCGGGAGCATTGAGGGTGATTGGTCAAACTGTTCCATATGAAAAAATATCCGGCAATAGCGATCAGCTGTACCAATTGGCAAAGTGCTACAGTACTCATATTAATTTATTTCAAATATATACAGTAAAGCTGCAACTAAAATAAAATGATATTGGAATAAATTATTCCTGATAAAACAATAGTTTCAAATACAATTCTACCGATCAATGTATCAAAATTATTTAAAGTTACATTGTTGGGTAAGTTTTAACCGAATCACCGGTAGATTCCGAGAAACGTGTACAGCTGATTAATTGTTTACGAAAAAATACAGACAGTAATCTTAATCTTTCCAGATAAAACAAAGCCTATCATAACAGGAAATAATCTGTTTTTAATCTGTAAATCACCCTTTCTTGTGTTTTTTTATCTCAAATTTCAAATTTGTATTGATCAAGTTGTTAATTGTTATGATCTGTTCGTTTCCCTGAATTCGATGAAGGGATACGATGTAATTTTTTTCTGTGGAAGACAAACATGTTTTTATTGCAAATGTAGGGATTGTGCATGCGTTGGTGACGTGCTTCATTCCGATTCGCTTTAAAGATGTATCAACATTTATTTACCTGATGAAGGAGTAAGCATATACTCCGAAATGTTGTGTTCTTCATAATAAAGAAGTTGACATCCATAAATACTCTTCCCTAACATTCATTCAGCGTGATTGAAAATCATGTCCATCTTTCAATAGTTTTATCTGCATTGACACTCTCATTTTCACCTTAAAAAATGGAAAATGTGGTAGTGTTTGAAAAAAATGATCTAGAGTACCTAAAAAAGTCAATAAAAAACTTACACGATACTTTATTCAATCGTCAAAAGTTGTCAATCGAAACAGATTTGCATACTTGCAACACTGCATAAAAACTAATGTATTTTTTGGTTAGTACTAATGCCAATTTTTATAAATACAGGGTTAGAAACTAACAGTTATTGTCCACTAGTCCTTATAATGATAACATATAGCAAAACCCTTAAAATGGGCCAATTTCTACTTGTCGTTAGGATACCTTTACTATTGGGCAGTTTGTTAAGGACTACAGGACTAGTGCCAATTTCTAACGCTGAAATATTTGCATTGGAATAATTAATGTTCGAAAATGGTATATCCGAGGTTATATCTATGTGATCTTGTAACATTAATTGCAACATTATTCAAGTCACAAATACCGAAAATCAAATACAGTTTCCACTGTGTGAAGATGAAATATCTCTGAAAATTTGCAAAATCTCATCACACGCCAAAAAATGTCATTGCTTTTGGACCAGGGAAGATTTTCTCTCACAGGTAAAAATTTTCAGAATAATCCCCGAAAGGGTAAAGGAGGTAACACGTATTACCAAAGCCAACACCAATTTTAATGGACTGGAAGACATCCTTCAATCATGAAAATATTTGAGGGCTTTCTTTTGCGTGTCAGTCAGTTTTTCAATGTTGAATTTCTTGCAAACTCAGTCAGTGAGACTGGCCACTATGTTG